AGTTAGAATCCTCTCAACTTATTTCTACACCATTTGATTCCAACTCCAAATTCAGCAGACTCAACAGTATGAGTCAAGATCCCATTTTTCCTTCAAAAATGGGATTATCATTACCTAAAAGAAAAATGGGGGAGTTCAAGAAAGTATCTGGTTTGATTTTTGATGAAAAAGCATTTGATAGTTTTGATAAAGACGATTTCTCTGAGTTGCATAAGGTGGTTAGGGATGCTTTTGTTACTGGGAAGAAACTGTTTCAGGATATTGAATCAGGGAAAGCTGAGAGCGAGTTAGTGAGTTTGACTCAGAAGAATCGGACCGAGTCGTGCCCCGACTCGGTGTCATTGTGGGGTAGTGAGTTTGTGGCTGGAGGGAAGATAATGGTGATACCTTGTGGATTGACTTTAGGGTCTCATATAACAGTTGTGGGGAGGCCGAGGTGGGCCCACGCGGAGAAGGATCCTAAGATTACTTTGGTGAAGGATGATGAGGAGACAGTGATGGTTTCACAGTTTATGATGGAATTGCAAGGATTGAAGACAGTTGATGGAGAGGACCCACCGAGGATACTGCATTTGAATCCGAGGTTGAAAGGGGATTGGAGTGGTAAGCCAGTTATTGAGCAGAATACATGTTATAGGATGCAATGGGGTTCTGCAATGAGGTGTGATGGTTGGAAATCCAAGCCTAGTGAGGAAACTGGTGAGGAATTTATGTTGTTGATGCATTGCATTTTCGTTTCATATTCGTTAGTTGTTTGGTCGTTCATTTAATTCAGATGCATTAGTTGCTGGTTTTGCATTTTCATTATGTGCTGGTAGGGATAGGTGTCAAATTTAGAGAACCTCTAGTTTTTACGAATGCTAAGTTGCATTAAAGAGAAATTATTTAGCAGTATTGGAATGAAACGAGTCTGATTAGAATGGAAGAGATATAGATTGTTCATATAACTGACCCGGACTAGTTTGATAAGTGTTAGTCAATTTGTATGCGGAGTGTTTGTTATTTACATGGTTTCTTGCACTTCTCTTTAGGAAATGTAATTTTTAAAGATTCTCCTGTAGCTTGTGTTGCTGTTTTTGGTTGTTAAATGTTCCATTTTTGCAACAATATTTAGGGAAAGGAAAGTCAGACTTTGAATTTCTGTTGGGCTGTCTGAGCTGAATTTAGATTGACCAGAATTTTCGCAAAGATATTGATAGTAATAGATGATTGAATAAGCTATCAGATAAGTATAAACTTGATTAAGTGAATTCAGAGCTATTATTGAACATCAATTATTGATTTATCATGTAAAGTATGTTGCGTTGCTGGATGGTATTGCTTAAGATTTTAACTTAGTGTTGTCCGTGTTTGTGAATGAAGTGGACGGACAGGTGAAATGTGAGAAGTGGATACGTGATGATGATGATCATTCTGAAGAATCAAAGGCCACATGGTGGCTGAAGAGACTTATTAGTGGGAGGACAAAGAAGGTCTCGATCGACTGGCCATACCCTTTTGTAGAGAACAAGTTGTTTGTGCTTACTCTCAGTGCTGGCTTAGAAGGTTATCACATCAATGTAGACGGGAGGCATATCACTTCCTTTCCTTATCGCACTGTGAGTATTGTCTAAAAATTGTTAGTATATTTTAATGTTCTGTTATGATTCATGTTGGTTAATAAACCTTTTTGTTATGAATTCACAGGGTTTTACTCTTGAGGATGCAACAGGTCTGTTTGTTAACGGGGATATTGATGTGCATTCTGTATTTGCTGCTTCGTTACCGTCAACACATCCGAGTTTTGCTCCGCAGAGGCATTTGGAAATGTTACCCAAGTGGCAAGCTCCGCCACTTCCTGATGGACCTGTTGAGCTTTTTATTGGCATCCTTTCCGCAGGCAATCATTTTGCTGAGAGAATGGCTGTGAGAAAATCTTGGATGCAGCATTCATCAATTAAATCGTCAAACATTGTAGCCCGTTTTTTTGTGGCAATGGTAAGACTAGGCTTATACTGAAGTGTCGATTCATGAAAATGATTTATCATATTGGAGCCTTGCATGTGCTTATATTTGAATTAAAATATTGCAGCACGGAAGAAAGGAGATAAATGTGGAGCTAGTGAAAGAAGCAGATTTTTTTGGTGATATTGTTATAGTTCCTTATATGGACAATTACGACCTTGTTGTATTGAAGACTGTAGCAATTTGTGAATATGGGGTACGTGCAATCATAAAATTCCAAGATGTTCATCTAGGCCTCAGTTTTTTCTCATATGCTTTTTAACATTTATGTACTCATGGAATATTTCAGGTCCGTACAGTCTCTGCAAAGTATGTAATGAAGTGTGATGATGACACCTTTGTAAGAATTGATGCTGTGATGAAGGAAGTTAAGAAAGTGCGTGGTGGTAGAAGCCTTTATGTTGGAAACATCAATTACTACCATAAGCCCCTTCGACATGGTAAATGGGCTGTCACCTATGAGGTAGACTTTCTCACTCTATCAATATTACGCTTCAGTTCTATGTACAGTGTAGTCTACTGATTTTCGACTGCCGTTAACTGTTTAACTCATTATAAATGAAAATGGACACCAGAGTTCCCTTAGGCAAAAGTGGGCAACCTCATTATGGCCATAAAAAAAGAGCTCATGTTTCCCTGGGATAAATTAGGAAACATAGGAAAGAAAAGATACAACAACCTCTTTCTTCCTTATTATATTCCTTTTACT